CATTTTTACTGTAAAGTAGTTTTTTAAGTACGTTTAAAATTTAACTAGTCAAATAAAATATTAAATAACAAAGACTTGTTAAACTTGTTAGTTAAATAATTAACACTTAAATAAACATATTTATACGATAATACGTTCAAGTTTGAAAAGTATAAGGAAATAAATAATATTAAAATGTATTTTAAAAATGTTCTAAAATATTTTAAAATAAAGATTATAATTAAAATAAAGATGAGCTATAATAAAAGCTAATTATTGTATATTGGTATATTAGTGTCATGGTATAACAGCAAGCTACTTAACAAATAATTCAATAAGTAATCACTAGAATTCACTACTTAATAGCAGAGATATATCTATCTATACTATTCTCTACTGATCATAATACCAATTCTAATCTAATTTTTTGATAATCGTACCCCCGTCATATTTTATACTTTTATAAATAAAATAATAAAATAAATCAATTGGTGTAATGAGAACACATAGAGAGAGTTGCTTATTTTAGGAAGCATCCATATTGTTTTATAATATATTATTTGTAAATTAAATAAATTTTTTTTTACACCAATTGATTCAACTTATTATTCTGCTCATAAAAATATCAATACCTAGAAAATTAATAATTTATGAAATATTTAACATTTTATGGTAAAACGGGTCAATATACAATACAAAATCTCCTAAAATTAATTTTTAAATAACTTTACCTTAATATTTTTATATACAGAATAATTATATATATATATATTATGTAAAAATCATTTAATTCCATTTAAGAAAATAGAGAGGATCTATATCATTTTGACGTCTTCATCTAGAAAAAAAAACATAAAACTATGTCTCCCTCAAAATTGTTCTATTTTTTTTTATATCTGAAACATTTTTTCATATCTTATGTATTTTTCAAGATATTTGCCTGGGGCTATATAATATATAATATTACATACAAGCGCGCGCGCGCGAGCGCATGCGCACACCTAATCTATATATTATTTATATCTTATTGACTTATTATAATATAAGACATTATGTATAGCTGGAGATATAGTAGTGTTTCGGTATTGAAACAAGTACAGCAATATATCATGACATACATAATCATAAAAAAAATAATATAATATATATAATACAAACATCCATATGAGAGTCATTAAAAACAAAATTGTAAAACAAAAGACAAAGCATATAATCATGAGATATAAAATTTTACCTGGGTCCAATTTCAATAACATGGTCTTGTGTATCACTGAACATACTATCACATCGCAAGCATTCTCCTTCTAAGAGAGGTGACAAGATCCATTTTAATGTTCGAGCTTCATCTTCCTGTAGTAATTCTGTTTCCACATAATAACACAATTCAGTCTCAAGGTTGGTTACTGAGGATTCAATTTGCAATATTTTATGCAATTTATTTTTCAGCTGGCCTGTCTTTAGACCAGGCGTCTTGTAAAATTTCAAGATCATTTTCGACGATCTGGAAAGAAAATAACAGAATACTAACAAATCATACAGCAAACACAGAAACTATTTAAGGTTATGAATATCTAATATGCTTTAACCGTATCTACTGTTGCTTGATGATAAGCGCAGACGATATGGACCACTTCGAAGCTAAAATTTTTATTTTAATCTTGTTTTTCATTATATGTATATGGATTGCGAAAGATTGATGTCATCTTCGTTACGTCAGTTTAATGAAATAAAGATTACATTATAAAATCAATCATTGATTGCATAGAACGAATCAGCATAATAAAATTACATAGTTTGCTCAATTCATAATAATTCAATATTCAATTTAATATTTTTATAATGTAACTTATTTTAAACAGTCACTTTAATATTTCAAAAATAATGCATTTATAACAAGGAAAAATTGTAAATAAAAAGTATTTAATTTAAAAAGAAATAATAAAAGGTTTTGTTCCAGGTAAAGTTGTACTAAAAAAGTTATTTTTACTTTTTTTAATGCAATTATATGTTTTATTCACATGAATCAATTTATCACATTTTATATGAATGTGCAGCATGAAATATGTATATGAATGTGTTTCAAAATCTCCTAATATAATACAGTCACAAAAGCATCTCTATAAAATATTGATTTTTTTATAATATAATTATAATTTATAATAATTAATTGATACAATTCTTTTTTCTAAATTTAATTTAAACCTTTTAAAGTAATTGTTATTGTAAATATATATATTTTTAATATTTTGTCGCTACATTGTTACATTTTCAAAGAAATTTTAGATAATATTATATATATATTTAAAATAAGAATTTATAATAATATTAAATATAAATTAAATGTAAAATATAAATTTATAATATTATTTAAAAAAATACCGTACTCTTTAAATCATGCTTAAAATAAAAAAACTTCCACATGGCAAAATTGCATTAATATAATGTTAGATATTATATACAAGAAATAAAATACATGAATCTTCTAAAAATATAAGACTTTTCAAATAATTCTAAAAACTCTAAAGTTTAATATTTAAATGTTCTATTCTATGCTATGAAAAGGTCACTGACAATGAATGACATTTGATTATCGCTTCATGTCGTTTTACGCAATATCGTAACTGTAACTACTTCATCGATTAAAACTTAAAAAAGACTAAATATAAAGTGAGTCTGATTGGAATAAATTATTCCAAAGACCGGTTTTTGAATATTGAGAATGTTTGCGATACGGTATTGTTGTGAACATAGTGAGCCTCCTCACTCAAAAGAATCTGAAAAACGTTGGCCCCTGACTTAACGTTTTTTCTTCCAGATTTTTCCGTTTCATGCAATAAACGCATTGAATGAGCCTAATATTTCACCGAAATCAAAGGTGAAGCCTGTATTTTAAATAATTACCGATTATTTGTTATCAATAATTATAATTCTTTTATCATTTTATCCAGGGAATGGAAAAGTTACTTTTACAGTTACTTTTTATAATAATGTAGTAACAAATGTAGCAAATTTTTTATAACTGTAATGATAACTAATCAAACACTTAAGAGGCTAAAATTAAACGTTTAGTTAGTTATCATTACAGTCATAAAAAATTGCAACATTGTTATAAAAAGTAACTGTAAAAATAACTATTCTATTCCATTCCATTTATCCTTATTTGCCCTTTTTGGTAAGAAAGTCATTGCATATACATAAGTTCATAACCTCACTTTTACATGGGAGCTACGAGACGAGACTCAGTAAAGCACACGGTCTCGAGCTTGTGCAGACGTAGGTAAAAACTCAGTTAAATCTCACTTACCAGATGTAAAAGAAATGTGCACTCAACTGAGTTATGACGTCACAAGTGAGAATTATCTGAGTTTTGGTATAAATGGAAAGCAACTGATGACAGACAAAAATGAAGCAGTCAATGAAGAAAAATACTCTTCTTTAATTAATGACTCACGCCTCCCCAGACAATAAATAGAAGGACGATACTCATTTAAAAAAAAAAAATAAAATAAAGTCTGGGAAGTATTGAAAGAAAAAGATGTGGAGGTAAAAAAAAAAACAAAAATCGTTACATAGCAAATGGATCTTCCGTGTAAAATAAGATGATAAATATAAACCAAACTTGGTATAAAAGGTTGTGAGCAAAGAAACGAATTGGATTATCAAGAGACATATAATATATAGTCCTGTGATAGGTTGGAGTTCTTTGAGAAGTATTATGTCTATAGCAATAGCAAAAGATTATAAGATGCTAATTTTTTATGCGAAGACAGCGTTTCTAGAGAGTTAGATGACGAAGTGTATATGTATCCACCGGAAGGCTACAACTACAGTGATAAATTACTGAGACTCAGAAAGACATTATATGCAAGCGCCTTTAAGATGGAACATTAAATTTACTGATTTTATTTAAGAAGAAAGGATTTAAGGTTATTAATTATAATACGCACTATGATCCAGCTTTGACCGCTGGTCAAATTATAGGCTGTTCTTCTTCTTATTTGTTTATCAATGTATGGTCATGTTAAGATTTTAAAATGTAATGAATCAAGTTATGAAACAATTATGTGGAGAATTTAAAATAAAAATAACAGGAAATGTCAAGAATTTTGTCGGATATGAACTTAAAAAAACAGAAGACTTTAATTTTGAAATAGGAAGATTATATTTATAAAATATTGGAACAAAGTAACATGAATTAAGCTAAGCCAGTAAAAGTTCCTTCAGGAAGAGAAGTCAGTAATTACGCTTAAAAATGACAGTTATCCTTATAGAAAATAATTGGATGTTTACTTTATGCATTATCTAAAACAAGACTGGACATAGCTTTTGGAGTGAATTATGTAAGCAGATATGTAGAGAATTTCCAATGCAAGAGAATGTCATTGATTAAAAACATATTTTGAAATACTTGAAAGGTAGTATAAGCCAAGGTATATTCAAGAAGAATGGTAACCTCAAACAGTTGCAAGCTTATTCAGATGCAAACTTCGCCAGAGACGTGGAAACCAGAAAGAGTACAACAGAGTTTGTAATATTTTATGGTGGACCTATAAGCTGGTTCTTAAGAAAACAGCTTATTATAATGCAGTCGACTACAGAGGCCTAATATGTTGTAAAGAACTGGTCTAAAGTCTTTGTTAGAAGAGCTATTGAATGATAAGATTGAAATTGAATTAAATATGGATAGTCAAAATGCAATTATGTTAATTAAAAATATAGTAAATAGAAGTAAAAATATTGACGTGAAGTTTAGTGTATACATGAATTAGAAAGGAAAAATAATTACTTTGAAATATTGTCAGACATCAGATATGTTGGTTGAGATATTTACTAAATCGTTGAATTTTACGAAATTTGTTGCGAGCATCACAATTGATTAAGATATGAATCTCACCAGATTTTATACGATTTGTAAAAGATTACTATATTTGATTCATATCAGTGAATTCATAAACCAGATTCATATTTAGAACAATAGATTTTTATATTTTTTTCTATTAACTCTCTTATTTTTACCAGGGAAGAAATTCAACACACTAGAAATGTTACTTTAAATGTATAATCCAAGTATATGTAATTTTTTATAATTATATGGGCCGATTGTTCCATCTTTTGATAAAGTTTACCTGTTAGATAAGTAAGCAAGATTACCCAATTACGTGCGCGGATTGCCAGATTTACCTAATAGGTAAACTTTACCGAAAGATGGAACAATCGGCCCTAAATGTAATAAATTTAATTCTTCCACTTAATATTTGGTAAATGCAAAGCACTCTCAGCATAAAAATAGTCTTCAGATTGAGGTTGTAATTTTGCTTTGTAATCCATTAGTACTGCACGATCCCCTTGTTGAACAAATATCTAGAAATATATATATATAAATGTAGTACTATTCTACAATATATTATTCCTTCATTCATAATTTCCTAATTAGAAAACATTTATCTACGTACATCAATTACTATTGTATGGCAAGATAGTTTTTTTGCCAATTCCAATCGCTTCTCTAGATTGTCAATAAATTTTAAATATTTTTCAAGAACTGTATGTGGCGCATTATATTTGTATAAAATTTTCAAAACATCTTCTGTATATAAATGCGTTTGTAATTTTGTATTACCAAGTATCCCCTAAACATAATTGATATAATTCTGATGAAATTAATAAAAAGATTCACATTAAAAAAAACATGCTACCTTTGTTAAAAGTAAACGATCGATATCGTCCCATCCACCACAAGCGGCTTTAACTTGCAAAGTGACTTTTTCATATAATCTAGGAGAAATGTTATGGTTTCGAGAGAGCATCATGGGTGATATTGTCACAAAATCATTCGGCGTGTTGCAATGGTGTTTACATGCATAATGTAAAGATTCCAAAATAGAAGAATTTAACAGGAGTTCCTCATCATTCTTTTTTTGTTTAATTGCCATTTGCCATTCTAATAATTTACAATATAAATAATATAATAAAAATGATTATAAAGCTCTATATGTATAAAACAGTATTAACTATTATAAAGGCAAAGAGCCAAGTAATTTAACGAACAACTTTAATTCAAATATTTATGATATAAAAATTACAAAAACAAACGTTTCGACTCCGATTGGGTTATTCTCAATGTTATATAAAATATAAAATTATTATAAGTCAAATATACAACAATTTTGATTAAATTAATTCGTCTTCGTAGTTCTGTGTAATTCTAGTCAAAAATATCAATGTCGTAAGCATAATTAATCTTGTCAGTTATATAAGAAAAAGATGTACAGCGTCCAATAATAAAAAACTCAAAATAATCAAGCATGACATTCTCTGCCACCGACATTACCTTATCTGGCATAACTAAGAGTAGTCTTTTTCGCTGCAAATTAGTTTAACCAATTTTTAATATAACATGTATTTACAACATGATTATTTTGAATTTTTTATTATTGGACGCTGTACATCTTTTTCTTATATAACTGACAAGATTTAATTATGACACATTGATATTTTTGATTAGAAACTTACACAGAACTACAAAGACGAATAATTTAATCAAAATTGTATATATTTAACTTATAATAATTTTCTATTTTATGTAACATGAAAATAACCCAATCGGAGTCGAACTTCTGTTTTTGTAATTTTTATATCATGAATATTTGTGAATTAAAGTTATTTGTTAAATTACTTGGCTCTTATTATATTTATACAGATAAATAATATAATTTTTTTCACGATAACAAAAGAGAAATAATATATAAACATACCTAGCAACTTGATATAAGACTCTAGAAAGATAGTTTCTTTGCAATTAGGTAACATGGTAAATAGTGCCTTGTAACAATTGTGAAGTTTTTGCTGTAGTCTATTTGGATCTTTTGTGTTTTTTATAACAATATGCAGATTCTTCATCTGTAACCAACCAGCAAATGAAATTGCAACTTAAATTGCATTGACATCTGTAGTAACACTTACAGCAGCAGTTGAGGAATGACCTAACATTCTGTAAAATATCAAGCATTAAAAGAAGTACTAATAAATCATGAGTTATATTATAGAAACATTACTTACGTTAAAATATCAGTTATTTCACTTGTTTGCAACCTTATAAATAGATAATAAATATATACGTTTATTGCATCTGGCCTCTCCATTAATAGTCTTTGTACCAATGAACGTTTTAAAGTTTTTATAAGAAATAAAATTATCTGCAACATATACATACATATATATATATATATATATATTAATCAAATATTAACAAAATTTATAATTTTTACATTTTGACAAATAATTTATTACAAGATTATTATATTTTAGCTATTTAAATATTTTAAGTTCATACTATTAAAATAGAATTTCCATCTCCATTTGAAATAGCAGCATCTAATAAAGCAGTTTTTCTAGCAAGAGACTTGTATCGTTCTAATGAATATGATTGACCAAGCAATATATGTCTCAATGTGATGTCTGGCTGCGTATCATCAATTTCATGATATTTACGTTCTGTTTTTGGATGATCGTTCTTTGATTTATTATCTGCGTCTAAAACTACAAGATGCTTAAAAAGATTTTACATATTTTAAATTTTGTCATTAATGATTACTATTTGAAATAGGATTAAACAGAGAATAACTCTAATTTAGTATGAAATATTCCCGTTTATGATCAAAGCAGATTTTAAATACTTTAATTCATATTTAGTGTAAATTTATATACATTTCTGATTCTACAATTCATACGTTAAATTATTTTTCCAGGCTTGAAACGCACTCATACTTAGAACTAGAATAATAATATTACATATTAAATTTTATAAGCAATTTGATATTTTTAAGTGATAATAAGCATCTAATAAGAATATTCATTACTTATTAATAATAATCTCAAAAATGCTAATAATGCTTTGTCATTAACATTAAAAAAATTTCAAAATATAATTTTGACATACTGCGTGATAACGTTTTTTCAGATATAACTGAGAGAAGAGATTTTGTAGTTTGAAGGTCATTAGTAGACTGAAGACTATTTTCAAAGTTTGATGTACTGAAAATTCCAGTCCACAGTTTCTGCGTGTCACTCTTCAATTGATCCACCTGCAATTTGATCCTTAGATACTTGCCACTCAGAGAATTTGCGCACAATTTACAATTCGTTACAACCATAACTTCATTCTCAAAACAGAATGACCGTCTCTCACTGCTGTACCAAAAATCATCCTCATCCTTCACAGTGTTCATCTTAGATTTCAGAATATCTTCTTCTTCGAGATTTAATTGGCCCTGGTCCTCTTAAACGAGGTAAACTTGGCCAGTCATACCAAGCACAGTTAAAGCCGGCACCGCTTATGCCCAAAAAATATGATACAACCGCAAAAATGGCATAACCCGCACAGCGCACGAATACGGGGCGTCTGCACCTATGACAGTCGTCACGCCGCAATCATGATATTAAAAACATATAAAATGATATAAAAACACAGGTATACCATTCCTGTGGATGCGCAGTCGTTCTAAAGTAGAATTAGATATCGCCAGGATGTTAGAATTCAATAGGGCTGCGAAGTGATACACTGGGCTGCATTCAGAATCATCATCTGGGTGCACTGAAATCTCAAAGTCGTGTTATCCTTGTTTATCATTCGTGAACAACCAGAAGGAGCCTGCCCATATATGTAGTATTTAGCTGTTACTTTATTTTGAAGCGCCTCTATGTCCACAAAACGTGGACATCGAACTATGTAGCCAATGTCCACGATCGTGTCGGTAATGTCCACGATTTTTTGGTTCGAATATTCCCTATGTCCATGATTTTTGAAGATTCGAACCAAAAAATCGTGGACATTATCGACACGATCGTGGACATTGGCTGACAATGCTGACTTTACCGCTCTCAGGCTTCTCTCTGGAACAACAAGGATAACACCTGTGTGCATACTGCATCCGGACGACGATTCTGAACGCAACCCTGTATGTATATTAAAGGTTAAATCTAGGACAATACTATAGTATACGTAATATATAATGTAGTATTTTCCTAAATTTTCATATACGTTTCTTTTTAAGAATAGACCCCCAGGCCTCACTTTGCGATTAAGAATCGCACTTGCTGCTTTTGAACGATTCACTCATAAAATCTTTAAACACATCTTTAACAGTCTGTTTAAAAGCTACATAATTAAATAGATTATTTGGCAATCTAAAAATATGGAAATAAAAATTTGAGTACAAAAGTTTTGTTCGTAAAGAAAATTAATAAAATTGGCTCTCACTATAATATATGTTTATTATATAGTCTAGTAATTATTATGAATAAAATATGCTTATTTATATTATAATTAATGTAAAAATAAAAAACATTTTTTGGAAGAGGAATATATTAACGCGGATTACATTCAGGATCATTTGATAGATGTTCTAATTTATCTTTCCCTCTTTTAATGAAACTTTTTAGTGTGTTAGGAATTGAAAATGCTGATTTACAATAAAATATATACTGAAAATAGGAAGGAAACTTTCGGAGATCGATTTGACGTAAGGAATTGTAAAATATTTATCATTTTGACGTGTATATTATAGTATTGTTCGTTTTGTCTCTCGGGAGCTGCTCGGAGTCGCTCTGAATAAACCCAGCGTACTTGGATGTGATCCATTTAATGCTGCAAATGCTTCGTTGATCAATCAGAAGAAAAAATTTTATGAATTGATCAATCAAAGTATGTTTCGAGGTATTTACAGCATTAAATAGACCACATCCAAGTACGCTTATAGGTTCGTTCGGAGCGACTCTGAGCAGCTCCCGAGAGACAAAACGAACAATACTTATGTGTAATGTGTTTATTGTGTATATATTGTAGAATTTTATTCTTTTGTCTATAGTAGAAAATATCAAGGGGAGAGGATGGGAATTGTTTAAAAAATATATATTTATTAAAGAAATATTAATAAAAATAAAAAAAGATTTTTTAATAATATTAGACAATACTTTATATTAATTTAAATACAAAATGCATTAAAAGTTTCTGAGCAATGTGTTAACTAATATTATTAATAATAATTTAAGATTGCATTATTTTAGATAGAGAAATAGTACATTTTTCTATCTTAAATAATGCAAACTTAAATAATGTTAATAACATTAGTTAAAATATCGTTCAGGAACTTATATATAACCTGTTATAGGATGCGCTCCGTTTCACGCATGATGCGCATAATGCATTGTTTATCTTTGTTGCCCATTAAATGTTAAACAAGGACAATTGATGCTTATACGCATCATGCGCGAAACGAAACGCACCATATTCATATGGATGCTCGTATAGGTTTGAATATCCCCGCTACTGGACACGTGACCTTTTAACGTTGTTTGTTATATTAATAATTTTCTAATAGATACCAACCGTCAATTAAATCTCAGGTTGATAACCTTTTGACATGTCAAAATCAAGGTCATTAGTGTGATGGCTCCTCTTTTCTTAATATTTACCGAAATTGTTGTCCTTATCCTTGTGTTTTATAAGTCACTTTTTGTAGAATAATGTTATTTATTTTCACTTATCTGAGAAGTCATGATACAAGTACAGTAATTTATTGCATACTGTTATATATTATTAATGTATATATTTCATTTTGGTTTTATTTACATTACATATATTTGGACTCATTATATCGCATCTACATATAAAAGATAGCATAAGTATGCACGTTTATGTGCTTACAATCTAAATCGTATAATATATTTTCTACAACAGTATATTTTATACCTATTTTTTTTAAATATATATACTAATAATACATCTTATGTAGTAGATTTTTGTCGAGAAATACGTAACAATTGATCTATTGAGGTGTCACACTTAATTCATACTTAACCCTTCCCTTACTTGCTTTCTATACGTATATTAAAATATATAGACTTATAGGGCAATATACATATATGGATATTGGCAGTACAGGATTTTACTTTTTCCAGAAAAGAAAAAGACAAGAATATATTAGATGTACAAAAAAGTTCTGAGTTTTTTTTGTAAAATCTATGTAATAATCGTATGTAATCATATGGAAATGGCTTGCTGCGTAACGCCAAGCTGTTCTGCAAGCTCCTTTTCAGTTTGCGCAGAGTTTATATCCAGCAGTGCTTGCAATTCGTCCGTTTCAATCTTTTCAGGGCGTCCAGCACGCGATTCATCTTTAAGACTGAAATCTCCTTGACGAAACTTTTGATACCATCTTTTACATGTAGCATGACTTACAGCGTTCTCTCCATATGCAGCACAAATCATTGCAGTGGCTTCAGCAGCATTTTTCTTCAGATGAAACGCGAAGTGGATGGAAAATCGAATATGCTCTTTTGTTATTGCCATCGTGAACACTACTGATTTATGGCATTTTAGAAGGCCAAATGTTAACGCTTTAAAACCGCAAAAGGGCGGGAAGATATATATAAAATTTAAATTGTTATTTCGGTTGTATGAAATCTAAAGCTCAGAACTTTTTTGTACACCTAATATATGTATGATATATATGTATTATATACATATATACATATTGTTATAAAATCCATGTATGATATAATATTATACATATATGTATATGGAAGGATAGTGCTGCCGTATCGTTACACATAAATAATTTTTTTTTTTAATTTAAAATATTATCTGATATTATCTACAAAATTAAGTTTAATGTAGAAGTTAAGGCAATGATTCTCCAGATATTCAGCACTGCTGTAATTTCCATTACAATATACAGTGCACAAAGTAAAATGATCATTGATGCGTGCCATGTTATTTATCATTTATCATACATATCTACAAATCTATATCACCAATCTTTGCTTGTAAAATATTTTTCATCCTGTACATAAAACAAGATACGTATCATCGTGTGTGTCATACTTATTTACAACTTTTACAAGATTTTGATTAGAACAAATGTGCTAAACAAACTTCACACACGTATTTATGTATATTGTATAACAAAGACAATATAAGATAATACAAGTCTGTAGACAAATTGGAGATACACAAAATTTATGAATTTATTTTAAAGAATGAAATAAATGGATATACTTTGTGCGTGCGCGCGCGCCGTGTGTTTCATTTTAATCTCGAAAAATATGGAAGATACGAAAAAATGTTTCAGACAAAAGTTGTATGGTTTGGAGATGGACATAAGACGATGCCATTAATTTGATTTTGAATAATAAAGGTCACAACATATACCACTCGTATATACGTTTCGACTATGTTCCGAAACGCATTCATCTTGAATGTATAAAGATTTCTGTTGACCAGTATACAATGGATGCTGTCATTTAGTGTGTGCAGTCATGATTATGGAAGAATCAAAATCGTATAACGAAGCGACGTCCAGTCAATGACGCCGAGTATTGGCGTCAGGCAATGTTGAAAGAAATGGATTTTCTCACAATCAACAAAATTTGGTCTCTAATCTCATTAGAGACAGTCCAAAAAATAATAGTTTGCAAATAGGTATTGTAATGTCCGTCGCTTTTCTCGGTACTCAGCGAATGTAACCATATCAGTGACGCTAATTCGTTGCTATGCCAACGAAGCAGCACTCCGCGCGAGAAACGCTATTACGCGTGATCTCACCTGAAACCAACCGCCAAATCATTACGCTTGCGCGAGTAAATTAGTGTAATTGCTCTAAAATAATTGATTGAGATTCTGCGAAATGTTGCAGTAAGATTTGAACTTAGTATTGACAGAATAACTAGACGAAGTTGCAGCAGTTAACAATTGTAAAAGATAGAATCTAAAAATCACGAATCATTCAAATTTCACAAATGCAGTAACAGTAATCTGCTGTACTGTTGAAGTGGCGATAACTGTAAAGCGCTTCTGTCAAAATCTCAAAGAGAAATGCAGTAATAAAATGCCTTATGTATATATAGAACAATTTCGTGAAATTTTCGTGCAGAAACAACGGCGAGCGTGCCACGCAAGAAACCTATACAAAAAAACTATAATAGATAATTCTCTTTCAATGTATAAGCAATTGAATCGGCCACAGCAAACGTTGCAGCTCGAGGGAGGCGCCCAGCGGGCGCCCCGCATTACATAATTGAATGTACAAAATTTGCTCTCTATATCAACTGCAAATTAACTAAAATCATCTAGATGAAAAATTCTGGAATAAATTTCGTACACACAATTTTCGCAACCTCATATGTTAGTTAGAGGGTCAATTCCCTTGTCCGCGCGGGGCCACTCCTTTGCGCATAAACGGTGCCTGTTTGCGCACCGCGCACCTCGTTTTCAGTTATCTTAATATTAAATACGTAGTTAACTTGTACTTGTTCTTAATTCCAAGTTCGGTTCTTAATATTTAAAAGTTAATACTTAGAAAAATTCTCGCACCGCCTTTCCGCTCCAAGTTCTTTCAAATTCGATACTTGGTAACTATTTCTAGATTTTTGCGAATTGTAACGCGCATTTCATTTTCGCTTACAAGCAATTCTAAAAGTCATCTTTTGTCAGTATCCCGCGTGTTTTTTCTTCTTTTCTCATTATTCTGTAACCTCTATTAAAATTTCGAGTTCTCAGTTACTTTCTTATATTTATTTTATACTCTCCTTTCTCCCGCGAAGTGCCTAAGTGTCATTGTGCTCGTCTGTGTGTCATTTTTCTGTGGCAATGGCTACGACGGAGAGCGAGACCGCGCGCGCTAATAGTGTAATAGTGGTGCTGTATAGTTCCCTATTAACATCCCGAGTAACGCGATCCTAATCACCGACTGCAACGGCTACCGTTGCAGTCTTCTTTTATCGTCTGGCAACTTCGTCTTCAGGAGCGCTACGTAGCACTCCGGGGGCTTCCTATCGCGGGTCGCCGAGTAGCTCTACTCAGAACTCCGGCCGCCATCTAAACGGGGCTCAAAGGCTCCTAAAGGGCTCTCCGCCGCTCAATCGCCGACGATCACCTCCCCCGTCACTAGCGCAAGTAAGTGGTGATGGCTGTAATGGTTGCAGGATATGGGATATGCCTCGCGTAACAGGAGCGAGGAGGCAGAAGGCGCTACAGAGTCTGGTAAGAGAGTACCATTGCTCAGCGGAATTTGATCCGCGAGCGCAGACCCGCGGTGAATAACACGCGACTACCCGGAGTATCATTCCGTCCCTGCGAACCACCGGGACGGATATCCCGCAAAGCGGTCAGCGCGGCCCCAGCCGCGAATGAGAAGGAAGCGCTAGCGCGGCCCTACAGAGTCGTGGTGTTCGCGCGTTCACCTCGCGTTGGAGCGACGGATCTGCCCGACATAAGAAACAGACTGAGCGCAAAGATCACGCGAACCGTACAGACCTCTGATTCGTACTCCGCGTCCGGGGCTCGTCGACTCCCGGACGTGATAGGTATATAAAATTAAATGCAGATCGGATAGTTCATTCGAAAAATACAAGGCACGATTGTGTGCGCGAGGTTTCCTACAGAAAAAAAAAGTATAGATTTTCACAACACTTTTTCACTTGTAACAAGATACGATTTTATTCTAGTGTATTATTAGCGTTAATTAACGTTAATTATAATATACGAAATGAATATACAACAATTCAATGTTAAAGCTGCCGTTTTACATGGGAAACTGGGGAATATTATCTTTGATAACATATATATATACTAACACTTTAACTTAATAAAAAAGGTATCCCCTTTTCCTTATTTAATTGTTTCTTTTATGGCTTATATAAATACGGAGACACATTGATAGGGACAGGCACAGTAATAGGGACGGATACCCTCTATGTTGCTTCTTTTTTCTTTTCGTTTGAAATCGCTATATTTATGTTCTATATTTAATTCCTGACTCTGTTCCTCATCTATGTATTTTTGACTTATGAGTATATGTATGGCAAGGTGTCTTGTATGTTCTTTATAGGCGATTTTTGGCGTGCCTCTGGTATAGCAACCAAAAGCAACCGTGGTTGAGGTTATCTTTGTCTTCTAATTCCTAAAAACGGAGATAGCCTTAGTCGCGGTTACTTTTGATTGCTATACTAGAAGCACGCCAAAAATCACTTTATGTCACTCACGCTTACCGGTTGCTTGCTTTAAATTCCTAAAAACGGAGATAGCCTTAGTCGCGGTTACTTTTGGTTGCTATACTAGAAGCACGCCAAAAATCACTTTATGTCACTCACGCTTACCGGTTGCTTGCTTTTTAGAAAGTGTTTTTGATACACATAATAAAATTGTATCTTATCTTATCAGATTCGTGTGAATTCATTATACAGTTCTAACAGACTAACTGCTATTTCTACATCTTTTGAATACACCCTGCAGTTCTGTGAGGACACTTGAGTGGGCCGGATGTGTTTCGTCCCGTCTCGAGTCATATTGCGCCTCGACCAATATTTTTGAAAAGTGTTGCCGACTTCGACTGTGCCTTGCATTTCATATTACGAGAGTCCTTTCATTCGTCTGGGCGCGTGGTCGTGCGGTACAGAGAACGTTTTACGGGCATCGTAGCCACAGGCGTCCAGTGCTTGGGGAGGGGAGGGGGGGGCGCGTCATTTTTGTTCGACACTGCATCATTCACTTATACTTATATCTGCTCGGTTTCGAGGCGGCCGATCCCTTGAATTCATAATTTTGATATTTACTTGCATTTTTCGCGGACCTCAGTGGCCCAGTATCAGTATTGTCTGCTCAAGGCTGCGGGACCAATCAAAGAAGAAGAAGATGAATTTACTGAATACATCCTGAGTAACACATCTAAACAAAGAACTCCATTTATTTCTTTCCTTAAACTAAATTCGCAAGTATCTCCTTCAATTTAATCACATAAATCTTTTGGACCTCTTGAAAGTTATTTTCTTTTATTGTACATTAGCGTAATCCTTCTTATCATAGAATGTTTTGCGTTATATCCAGTTAGAAGATCAAAGATGTATTTTGTATTTTTTGTGTCCTTATGTAACTTTCGAATTTAAGTTTTTTTATTCCATACTCGACAGAATTTAAATACGCTCATACATAATAATTGCAACGCACGCACAGGGTGACATTGACCTATGAGATTGACCGTCATGAGCTGGTAGAGTGGACTGAACTAAATCGAAAGGTTTTCTACGTTTTGCAATGTTTACAAGAATTATCGAGATAATAGCTGCGTTCAGCAGAAAAAGCAGCTTTGCAACTGTTGTGAAATTCTTGAATATGATTGGCTTATATACATTTAGATGTAATGAGGAAGTAAGGGCAAGAACAATCATTAAATAATTTTACAACAGTTGCAAAGCTGCTTTTTCTGCTGAACGCAACCATTAATTTTTAAAGATAGCCGAATAAACGCGTTCGCGCGGCCTACTACTGTCAAGCGTGTACGTCCACGGAACGTATGATGTGCGGGCCGCGGGGATAGTCTGGCAAGCGCGCTGTCCACTGTGCTTTCGAGACTTTCGAGTCGTGATGTTTAGAGACTCGCGACGATGTGCGTAGCACGAGGCGCTTATCAGACAGTTTCTACTCCCTACGTGCCTACGTTTATTTGGCTATATTTAAAAATTAATATTTCGTTAATTATTGCGAAAATTTCGAAACGGTAGAGGACTTTTCGATTCCGTTCAGTCCACTACCAGCTCATGACGGGTGATTTCATAGATTAATGTCACCCTGTACATATAGTATACAGAGTGTTTCATAATTAATTATAAAACTCTTGCATAGAGACAGAATGGATTAAACTGAGAAGAAAAGTCATATAATTTAATTTTGCATTTGTCGCATTAGTTAATAAATTATTAATTGATGAAAATAATTAAATTCGCTCAACCTACCGCCAAATGCAAGCGCGCTTTCGCCGGCATGTTGTTTACAAGCCGCTTGTAAACTAGCGGTGTAAGTTCAAGCGTTGTATTCATTAGAATAAGAATAAAATCTGTATTAAAGGCATATTGTCGGTTAATTTCTTATTAATAAAAAACAAGTAGTATATTTCCTAGGTATATATATATTCATATTATTTTATATATTTCCAGTATCTACAGTATATATAGATATATCTACAGTATATAGATGTATCAAACAAATAATCTTATGTGGACTAATTGTGATAAACGCTTTTTTGAGACCTTTTACTAACTCTCGAAAGGATTAGAAGCACAGACTCTGGTATAAAGTGTAATATATAAGACATAAGAAAATCAACCAATCGGTGTTCTTCCTTTTCTTTCTTTCCATGAAATAAAGAACTCTGGTTGATTTGCTTATGTCTTACACATTATGCAAGAGTCTTTGTTACCCGCTTTAATCGGAGTTTTACAATGAGTCTGTAGTCAGAACTTCCGACTCGGAAGTCTTAAGCAGGAAGTCTTGTAAGCCTTAATCAGTGAAGTTGATCAGTTGCCAACTTGTACCATTAAGATTAAGACTGATTGAGACTTTTGATTATCGACTCATTGTACAACCCATTATAAGGTGGTTGTACAGACTTTGAGCGAGAGCACAGTCTTACATAACGCATAAGAAAATAAATTAATGAAAGTAATTTTTTTCCTTCTTCCTCATAAAATAAAAGGACCCTGATTAAACGATTTTCTTGTACTTTATGCTTTACTTACGTATGTGTTATGCGAAAGTCTACTTCAGCTTTTTTACATAATAAGGCACAAGATAATTAATCAATCAATGTCCCTCATTTCATACTTTTATTACTTGTTTTATGCCTTATGCTTCGTGTCTTATGCCTTATGCGTTATGAAGCATCATGCAAAAGTCTGTGCAGCATTCTTTATTCTTTATAATATTGCCTTTGCGATTTGTGTGAGGCACATATTTGCAGGCGGGAGGTTGGTATAAAAGATAATTCGAGAGGAGTGTTACACCGCTCAAAAATGTAAAATTTTTCTGGCATAATATAAAAGTTATTCACATAATTATCCATAAAACGTTCTTGCACTTATTTTCGGAATTCTGATATTCAAATGATTAATTTGTATGAAGGGTACGCGAGTCTATTTACACCGTGGTGACCGACAGTAAACCCATTAATTTCCCACCCGTGCCAGGTCCACCTGCGCCCACCCTGTTTCCGTGAACCAACATTTCTTGCACGGTGGCAAATTCATCCAGAGTCGTTTTTTTACGCACCATCTTCTTATGACTTAGTTCGACAATGTTCAACGGCTTTTTGGATATCTTTTCCTCTGTATGCTCGCATATCAGCACATCATTAGTCTGTTGTATCTGCTGCTGTTGCTGTTGCAGTATCAGTTCCTGTTGACGTTGTTTGCGTTCGCGTGCACGTTCCAGTTGCCGTTTACGCTCCTCTTTGCTCCAATAGCGTCCGACCTGGTAAATAATAATGTATAAACTAAGTAAATAATTGTGAATAATAAAATTAATAAATGTATAAATAACAAACTAAATAAATAAATATGAATACGAAGCCTATAACAGTCTAGTTTGGATTTTATTAAGTGTGTCGGAAAGTTCCGTTCGTCTAGTGGCGAGTAGCTATAGCTAAAACTGTCGATAACTCAAATGTCTAAACTAAGCTTAATTTTTTAGTTTAAACATCCGTCAATAAAATTAAGTATATAAAAGTATATGTTTGCATCAATAACATTGCCTTTTAATGTATCGAAAACGTCGACATTTGAGCCAAATAAGAGACATTTGTGCGAAGCGTTAATCTTTTGCTTCAAATGGAAGAAAATTGCAGCTGAAGCTCATCGAAAGCTTGTAGAAGTTTATGGTGATAGTGCTCCTTTCGATAAAATATGCAGAGAATGGTTTCGATGCTTTTAAAGTGGTGATTTTGATGTGGAGGATCAGAGCGTTCTGGACGGCCAAAAGTATTTGAAGACGAAGAATTGCAGATATTAGTGGAGGAAAACCCATGTCAAACGCAAAAACAACTTGCAGAAACATTAAATTGTGCTCAATTTGTTATTTCCGATCGTTTGAAAGCCTTGGAAAAGATCTACAAAGAAGGAAAATGGGTCCCATATGAACTGAAGCCAAGAGACATTAAAAGGCGAAAAACCACCTGCAAAATTCTGCTTGCTAAGGCAACAAAGAAAAGGATTTTTGCACCGAATTGTGACTGTTGATGAAAAGTAGATCTATTTCGATAACATGACTTACACATGACTGCGGACAGAGAAGAAGAAAGAGGAGACGTTTCTTAATTTTTTATGAAAATCATCACTTTTTGATTACTTGTATGTCCAGAACGGTTCGACTGATTCAAAATTTTTTTAGTTCAAATTACTCGTGGCGATGCCGCCTTTCAGGATATATTACGTACGATTCAAAATTTTTTATATTTTAATAGTTATGTATCCCCCAAAAATAGACTTTGGTGGCTCGAAATAAGAGACTTGTAGTGTCTATTATTAATCTTTTAAATTTAAATTAAGTAGTAGTTTTTTTGAACATGGTCGGAAACTATCGCGTCTCCTGATATCTAACAATGAGGATGCTTTAGAATTGACAAAGACTTCAGTCGACACTCTACGTAATTTATCGCATCTTTGACAAGGCTCGTTTGCTCGCTAGCTCTCTTCAAGAGCGACAGCATCCCAAGTGACAACATTTAAATTGAAATTAAGCTAAAAACTATATCATTACAACTTTAGCGTTTTTACGCCATTGTACAAGAATATTATCACAGATTGAATCACGCCCTGTTGACCCGGTCAGGGTCAAAAGAAAAACAGCTCTTGTAGGCACAGAGTCTCGTGAAATAGTAGAGGTATTTGGGTCAGCACAATGACTGAGCCACGTGTAAACTGTCGTACTTTGGTACTTTATTAGAATCACCACATCTGAAATGGAGTATTTTTCTCCCAGAGATCACGAGATCAGGAAGGTGTGCTCAAAGAATGCTTAAAGCTATTAGCAGCGACTCCAACTTGACCGGTCTCTTTATTAGATTCGATCAAGCGATGTTCTAACACTTTGTGTTATTGATAAGAATTTTGTAGTCAATATCATGCATTTTCCTTTGGGTCTCTCATTCCCCAGGTTTTGAACTGAATTAATAAGCATCTCTCTAGCTATTTCGGACTTAATTCTATGAAAGATACTAATTCATGAATATTCCACAACTATCCTATAAAAACGAGGAGGTAGCGATATTCGTGCCTTCCGGTCTTCGTTACAATTTTGTATAAAATTAACTTTGACTACAGCTAAATTAACAGAATTTATCCACGTAACATGTCCAGGATTAATAATAATTAATTTGGTTCGTCTACTCGCTCTGTGAATGCATTTAAGCTCGGACCTTTAGATCTTTCAGTCCGTCCCTCAGCGACACTTTGAATATCTTTATTATATTAATCGTATGCAATATAGTTTCTCAAACTTTTTCTTTGGTTTATTGAGGAAAATGACCTACTGTTCTCAGAACTAGCTTCGATCGCCCGCTGATCCTTTCCGTCCTCTCTAGTAGACAATAACATTAAAGAACTATAAATCATTCATGTTGTTTTAAATCTTTTATACCAAGCGTAGTAATGGAAAAATGTGCATAAATACATCGCGTATGCACCTATGCACGCTATATCTAACGTAATAATAGTTTCTTTTTATACAACTTGCGTCCTGATTTGGACCTATTTATCGCCTATTTAGGTCGTTCTCGCTTATTCTCTAATCTCGTCTCATAGATATTAAGGTCGTTTGTTTTACTTATCTGTCCAACAATACCAGATACTTATGTGACTAGAGCCTTAGTCCTCACCTCATGTAACATCCTGTTCATCTAGTGCTCATATAGAGAGAACTCCACCAGTAGATATATAGATTTGGGGATCTATTTTTGTTTGTTTATTATCAAAGATTCCATGTGGAAGGTCAGTCAGATGTAAGGATCATCTCAGCAAAGTGTTTTGACATTTTAGCAATCAGTTTAAGCGTAATCAGTTAAACTTGAGCATATATCCTACAAAATTATTTTGAGGGTCTAATAGGGCTTATTTTCGGATTTTTACCTATATAAATTTTTAGATCTTTCAGCAAAATAATTTTTTCCGTACAGGACTGTTCAAACTTGTCATATTTCAAATAGTAATACGAATAGCAATAAGTTTAAGAAAATTGAGGATTTAGCTCTATCTTATTTTTGAGATGCAGAAAATGTGTCAATAAAAAATATATAATGATCGAAATTATGATAGAAATAAAATGATATTTTAATATTAATGATTAAAGTCTCTAAAATATCCTTGAAAAATGTTTCTTGGTTACAATAATAAAAACAAATATGTACATTAGTAAATGGAGTGAATACATTATAAATTTAAAATATTTTAAGGTATACTTAAACAAAATCAAATATTTTGTTTACCTGCTTTTTTCTACATACTCGTATATTTCATTCAGCGATATTATATCCGACATTTTTTTCTCTCTCCCGCAATAAGATGTAACGACACCCACAGATTCTTTCTCATTGTGCTGATCATATTTGAACATATAAAATTTGAAGAAATAAAAGTTTATTGTTTCCAAATTTGGCTCGAAAAGATAAATCGATTGATATCAATTGGTATTTACCTTCATTTCTGACATAGTATCGTCCTCGGTGGTGTGACCGGCTCTTTCTTCTGTTATCTTGATCGCTCGATTCCGAAGTATCCTATTCCTGACTGGTCGTCTGGCAATGTATCTCGTTCCATCCGCTCTCCTTTTTACTTTCCATTCCATTTGCACCTCGTTCTTGTCTTCCGGTGGTACCCAAGTAGTAGACGTGCATACTTGTTGACTACCGATAAACTGGTATTGTGTAAGATTTGGTGCCTGGAAGTTGCCATATGACTTGGGTTTCTTCGCACTGCTTGTGGATATCTCTTTAGATGTGAAATTTTTGCGGTTGAGAGCTTGCTTAAACAGCTGCTGTTGCAGCATCATTGTTTGTTGCAAATTTGCCACGTTCGTGTACATAGTATTGGCTGCCATAGTGTTGACGTTTATCGACGAAGGTTCATTACGATCTCTGTGATAATACGACGACAATGAACTTTTCTTTACATTCTGGTTTTTCGATGATTGTTTTGTTACTGCGAACGTTGCGGTTGGCGTCACCGGCATGGGACAATTACAACCACCTTTCTGCTGTTGTTGCTGCTGCAACGTCTTTGGCGGGCACAATACCAACGTGCTCATATAATGATCCCTCTCACCCTGATGCAGCTCCAGAGTTAGAGGATTACTGTGACAGGACTCGCCGGTATTGTAAGCACTCGAGCTATCTTTTTCTTCGCCGGAACTGTTGCTTTTTGAGGAAGAATGCCACTTCTGATTCTGCTGTCCGCTGGTCAAATGGTTTTGCACGGTTTCACCATGTTGCGTTGTCATGGCATGGTTTGTTTGTTGCATCCAATGTTGCTGATGGTGCTCGTATGGCGATGAGTAGATTGGCTCGCTGTCCGATTCTGGTATTGTTTCGTAGATATGCTCAATATCACTCCATACATGGCTCGAGTATGCCTCGATAAGTTTCACTGACAGTGGTGTTGTCGCTAATGGACTTGATTGCTGACCACGTAGAGATATACCCTCGAGTCTCTTTGAACAATCCATCAGCGATTCGTGCATTCGTTGCTTATTGCATTCTTCCGTGTGATGCTCTGGCAAGGTCGCGTTCTTGTCGACAAATTTCTGTGAGTTCTGCGATGAACATGTGGGTGATGAATTTGTGGAAAAGATGTTACTAGATTGTTGTTGTTGCGACAGCGGCGGTTGCTGCTGTTGCTGTTGAGTGTGTGATGGTATGGGTGGAGGTGCTTTCAAGCTACAATTGTCTCCCTCGTTGTTTTCTTTCGTTTGTTGTTGCTGTTGACGGATCAACTGCTCGATCATGCTATTTTGATATGCTGGTGGGTTTTCGGGCGAAAGCGGCGGCAAATCCTGAAATAGAATCATGGTTCATAATAAACAGATGTCTATATCACGCGTAAACGTCAATTGCTTTTTTGTTTCTTTATATAATTCAACTTACTTGTTGATAGATACGCCTATCATCATATTCATCGTCCTAAAATAAAAGAAGTAAATTGATAACATGTAAAAACCATATTTTGTTTTTTTATTTATATATAAGAAAATTATAATTATTTTCTGGAAGTGTTATCATATAATTATTCTATATTATACAAACGTTAAATCTTTTGCTCGAAAAGGATTCATAATTTTTGATAAAATGCTTTCAAATCTCTGTAACATTTTCATTGTATTTTCTATTTATTATACAATATTTTCAAGTTTATTAAATTTTATATTGAACATTTAAACATTATAATAATAAGAATGAAAACGAACTTGATATACACATCGACTGACGAGAATAGTCACTGCGTTTTTCGTCTCCGCAAACAGATTCTCGGTCTGCTCCTTGTTTGCAACATCCTTGCCATTGACCTGGAGCGAAAAGAAATGTTTTTTTCAATAAACAATGCAACCGCTATTTGATTTCCGGAATGAGTCACTGTTTGCATGTGAAAGAAATATACATAATATAATAAAATGCTTGTTTCAAATGTAATAAATTAAAAACCCGTTAAAATCTTTAATATTCGTAAGATGATTTAGGGCAAATTTTAGTTCGGTTGATGTAAACAAAAAGGGGCGTGCGTTTGCAAACGTCCGGTAGTGATGATTTTTGGATATGTCTTAAAGTTTGATATCCATTAAACTCCAACTTTTCCAATATGGCAGGCCGTCACTCGCGCCGCCTTCTTATTGTTAGAAAATTAATGTCTAAAATATATTTCTTTCGCAATATTGCTTTACTCGTGGATCCTACGATAAAAATAATTATAACCAATCTTGTACAGGAAAATATTTTCTATATTACTAAAATATTACTATTGTGTAAAATATTTTTTTCTTTAACAGATATCGAGCTGCGGCGCAAAGTGGAATAGTTTAGTAAAATTTCTAAGACAGCTACGTTTTCAGTTAATTTTCTTGGTAATTATGCAGTATAAGGAATACTATTTTCCAATGATCTTGACATATGTTGTCATGGTCATGACCCCGAGTGATCTTGAATAAATTTTAGCCATCACTCGTTGTTCGTTAAGTAACCAATCGCGAGTTTCAAGCTGCAGAAATTATCGTTTTTGTTATAATCAATAAATAAAAGTATGTTGAAAAGGGTTACGAGTCAAATTATAATTTTATAGATATGTACTTAATACAAAAGATTTATTTCGTAAATTGCTTGAAAATAAGTTTAGGATCGGAGTAGACCTTTTTACTAATAATCGCGTCTCTTGTATCATGACGTCGAGTCACTATTTTCTGGCTTTTTCCGACAGTTGGCTTTTTCTCACAACACGCAGTAACATATAGAAAACCGGTTTTCGCGAGATGTCTCGTTTGACGGTGTTCAGCGACACTCGGGTATCTTCGATGCGGTGTTCGTTATGGATCTAAAATTATGCTTGTCTTTTTTAAAAAATTCGGGCGCACCGCGTCCTTATCCCCGTATGCAAATTTCTCCGTATATGATGGCATTTACTATAATGGCATCGGCTGGTCGGCCGAGAACGATGCACAATTGGCAATACACGCGCATTATTATGATTTATTTATTAAATTATTATGAAAACACATTTTTTTTATCGAAAAGAAACAGCGGATTAGAATTTAGACTTGGAGAGAGAGAGAGATGTTGGGGAGCGATATATCAAATTTTTTTTTTACAAATTCTAAAAAAATTTCGGCGCGCATTTTAAATGAGTAATGCAAGTACATGTATGTATAGTATATATATTATTCATATTAAATTATTTAACGCATTAAAAATCCAGCTTTGATCGTTATGGCCAGTATTTCCTATTTCCTAAATAAAATATTTTTTTCAGGTAAAAAAAAAAGCTAGTAAAAAAATAGCTTATCAGAATTTTGTGTATCTCTAAAGTTTCACAATTTTTTAAATTTTCGAATAAGAAAATTTCTCTTAATTGTAAGTGAAATGGAATTCTTCAGTAAATCCACATGAATAAATCATTGTTTCAGTAAATACTGTTTTTGTATTCGCGGTATGGAATATATATGATAGTAACGAAAATTTTCTGATTTTTACCTGCAAGATTTGATCTCCTTCTCGTAACCGGCCATCCCGGGCTGCGAGACTTTCAGGAACTATTTCCGAAATATAAACCTCGGTATCGACGTCCTCGCTGCCGGAACCAGAACTATAGCACACAGTCAGTCCGAGCTTTTCGGCACTCTCGCTTTTCCGCAACGTCACCTCCTACAGCATTTCGCAACTACTGTTATGTAATGTTCGCCGTAGTAGACAATGTTGAGTGAAATTAAATATAATATATACCTGATTGCATGGGGTGTAACTCGTTAGTTATGTTAACGTTATCGTCATTTGACAAACATATTTTAGGAAAGTGAGCTTTTGCATATAATTTAATAGCACTTACAAGAGAAGATCTTTAATTCGGAAATTGCAAAAATTATAAGACTTTGGTAATACATGAAGAATATCCCGATATATGTATAAATTTCTTTTTTGCTGCTCGACTTTAATTTTTAAAAGAATAAATTTATTGAAAGTCGGATAATTTTTTGTTCGTGAAATTCTTATTTTATAAGAATATTGAACGATTTCATGGAAATATATTCTTTTAAATTTCAATACATTTTTTATAATTCTCTAAACATAAATTGTTAATTTTATAGGTAATTATTTACAAAATTGATAAATTTTCTAATTTCAACAATTAATAAATCTTTTTATTTAAACAACTAATAAATATTCTAATTAATAAATCTCATTAAGAGAAATAACTTCTTTATGAAACTTTCTTTACATTAGGGGACACATCTTTAATGACCTTGACATTAGCTGTGTTCAGCAGAAGGGTCTGAACACAGGATTACCGTAATACATTAAGACTCTTTCAAGACAATTAACAAGATTATTTTTAACTTGCTTACAAACAATTAGATTATTTTTATTTTTTTATCGAAAAATATGTTTTTTATTTTTATTTATATAGTACACACTATCAAGAAATATAGCGATGTCCATTAATTCTAAAGTCATACACCAAAGTTTATACGTTGCTTACGTCTACAACTTAAGTCTGTCTTAATGTATTATGGCAATCCTATGCTCAGAACTCGAAGTCAGCACTTAATGTAGGATTCACACTGCGTATTTCTAGATATATACGACAAGCATCGTTGTACGACAAAATATTGTTAGCTATATATCTAGAAAACAAGTCCTCCCATTGGATATCGTACCATCGTACGTCGGATGTCGCGTACGTAGAGTGAACCTACATAAGGTGATGCTGGAATAACGGCCCAACTTGATCGAAGTCGATAGTACAGTTTTTAAATTCCAAATTTGATAATAGTGACATCTTTTATTCATTTCTCATATTTACATTGTATATCGTTGTGTCTCACAAACGCATTCATCTGTCCTTATTTAATATTGCAATGCCATCTCTTGCAAGATCGAGCACCTCTACTGTTAGACATAATTTTTGTTTGGTTTTATTGCTTCACTCGTAATATACAATTGGAATCTTCCACGACTCCGTTCTCTTATTCTAAAGCCCCTAGATTGTTTCTACAAACATAATATTGGTTTTTAGGATTTTTTCGTTTTTTATAGGCAATTAGCTACTTATTTTATACGTGCAAGGCTTGAAACTTTTACATCCAGCACATAGTGACGAATCGACTTCAGAAGCCGATGACAAAACTGTAAGTGTCCAATTTTCTTTTGTTTTTTTATATTAAATTGTAGCTATTTCCCTATTGTCAACTTTAATTGTGGAGAAGGACTTTACAATTCGTAAAAGTAATTAAGAGTAATGAGTCATGGAAAATTAATCAAATTTTATCGATAAAATAGGACCTCCAGCATCACCTTGTCATGGTGACTGGTCTAGTTAGTCTAGTGAGGGACACCCAACAATGAAAGAAATAGGGAACAGAGAATAAAGAATAGGATGCAGGGAACAGTTCAATTTCAACATACAAAACACAAGTTTTAAGGGGATATTAAAGTCGTCCTACTTTACCATCATTTCCATTCGATGATGAATTTTCGAATTGGATTGACGGATTGCAAAATTGTTATTACAGAATTAAAGTACGCACAAGCAGGACCTCAGCTAGATTGTATTTCACGAGAAAATCGGAAAAAAATTGAAAATTTACTTACTTTTGGTTCGTACAGCTGTCACATCAGATCTATATTTGCTTGATATAAGAGTTTTATAGTCCATATATTGAAAATAAGCATCTAGCAGAGATCACATTATTGGAACAAATGATACCGAGTTTGTAAAACTAAGATAGAAAGTCTAAAAGAAAAGTTTTTTCACCGAATGGAAAATACGTGAATATGAATATTTTGCGAAGATTAGAGATGTCAACAGAGCCAAAATTCCGTGTAACAGTAGTTGTGCAGTCTTGCGAGAGATGGCGTGATATGGCATGATATTGTGGCGATCCGCCACCAGATGTCCAACGGGATTCATGTCAATTCTCGCAAGTATTTGAGACACGCAAATATCCTTCGTATAGAATCTCGATCTAAAAACTCCCCCAGGTGTCTTTGTAAGGTAGGCTCCCACTACAATGTCTTACTGATGAGTCTAGTAGTGTGAACCGGGACGAAATGCCGTGGCAGACCAAACCTTGCGTTGGCCCTCACAAAATATAAAAGGCCACAATTAGTTTGGTCTGCCGTGGCGTTTCGTCCCGGTCCTCACTACTAGACTCGTCAGTAAGGCATTGTAATGGGAACCTACCTTAGACGCCTGGGGGAGTTTTTTTGGGATCGAGGTTGTTATACAGGGTGTTTGAGAAGTAATGAAAAATTCTGTTGCATGGAGGTAGAATGGACTAAACTGAGAAGAAAAGTCCTCTACCATTTTACAATTTTCGTAATAGTTAACGGGATATTAATTTATAAAAATATCCAAATTCACCCGGCCCACCGCCAAATGCAAGCGCGCGGCTGGATCGACCGCCCAACCATGATATAATTTTTCATTACTTCTTTTTAAACATCCTGTATATAATCCTAATTATTCAATACCTCAAAATCGATGTCGTGAGTAAGAAAGTCCTCGAAACTGTCATTAGCTTGTTCTTCAATGGCGAAAGGAACAGGAAGTAACTCTTCCATTTCTATGAGACCAGTCCAGTCTGTTTGAACTGCCGTAGACACCAAAGTGCACGTTGTATTGTCCTTACTGACATCGTTGTTACACATTTCATCATTTGTCACATCTCTTTCGTTTATCGATACCTCATTTTTATCTTGACACGTGAGCTTTTCGTGCACTTTAGACAGTGTGTGAGGCACTTGTTGATGCCCACTAGGTTGTCGTCGAAGAACCTCTACGATAATTGGTTCCTGAGCTGATTGAAAACAGCGTACTGCATCCTCGTGACTAGAGTTTGAAACATCTTGCCCGTTCACCTAAAAACAAAGAAACATATATTAGTACGCTGACCTTGATGAAGGTTGATCATTTTTATGAATAAGGTAAATATTGACAACAGTGAATCCAGTTATGACCATGACGTATGTTGTTAATGTCCTAATTAAAGGGTCTCTTATAGGTTTGCACATCGGAGGTGGCGTAAAGGACAGAATGGGGATGTATTCAGTACCGTATACGTAGATATGTAAATAAGACGTCTACCTAGCTGGCCCCCCACTTAACCAAATCTTAATTTTAAAAATTGTATAATAATGCGCTATTTATGTACTATACATATCCGCAAATAAAAATTTTTGCGCTCATTCCGTTTAGCTAAAAAAAAATTTTTTTGTGGGGGAGCTGAGTAAGCACCAAGTCAGCCCCTCCACCCGTTAAAAACAATCGAATTAGAAAATTGAAAACACATGATTTATGCGCTATTAATGCGTTATTATATGCACACAGTTTTAATTTTTGCGCTGCAACCCTTAAGGCACTTCCCTCTTGGAGCGAACGGACATATTCTCATCTAAATCGTTAAAAATTACAAAATTATATACCTTGGCTCATTTTTTACTCGTATGAGCGCAAAAATTTTTATTTGCGGATATGTATAGCGCATAAATAGCGCATTATTATACAATTTTTAAAATTAAGATTTGATTAAGTGGGGGGGGGCCAGCTAGACAGACGTTTTTTCCAATTTATATCAAATAATATAACATTTTTTATTTTACTATACAGCAGGTTAGTATAAGAAACATTATTTTATCTTATTTAATTCTTATTGAATAAAATTACCGAAAATAAATGTTTCTTTTTTTTTAAATAGTAGCCATATCTATAACGTAAGTATTAATAAACAATTAGTTAAATTTCATATTAAGTCGCTTGCATTTACAAAATATGTAATATCTTTCCTTTTCAATTATAATAATATTAATTTTAATAAAAAAAAACTGTAAACGTGCGCGCATTTTTTTCTCTTCTGAGCAGAAAATAATATGTACATACATATTAATATAATATAAACAATCTGATATTACGTTGATTGAGCTGTTCAGATAGTTACGAATTTGCATAGTCGCTTTGGTTTTGTTGATAAATTTTGCATGATGTGGTATTACAAAGGGTTATACAATACAATAAATAAATGTGTAATTACACACATACACCCACGCAATATACGCGCACATGTGTCAAATAAGACACTTAAGTTTTTTGTCTTGGCAAATGAACTGCTTTTTAAGTAACAGTGTATACTGAATATATACAGGTGTGTCACGCAATTGGGGTTCTAGCACCTGTTCGTTGAAGAAAGAAATAAAGATAGAAAGAAGTTGAATAGCTTAATATTTTTCTATTAATCCATTTTTCTTTATAAGTGCAGGGAGACAAATTGCCTTTGCATTTCTTCTTTAATAGAATCATATTCTTTGCATAAATAACATTTATGTTGCATAAGAGTGTGTTATCTAAAAAATGTTTTTTAAATATCTTATGCATGTTATCTGGGTTGTGTCTCATTTGTATATTTCAATATTAATTCAATAGAAATTCAATATTAATAAATTTGCAGATTATGCTTAGGATTCTAATGCACTCTTTATAATTTGGTTACAGGACATTTTTTGTATATTTATTTTTCTATATTATGCTAAATAAAAATTAATAATATTTTCTACTGCGTAAAAGATATTATACATATATGCTCTCGCAAATATATATGTCAGAGTAGATCTTTTATAAATTCTTATAATAGAGTTTAGGAAAATTCATAAATTATGTTAGC